GCGCATGAACTCATCGTCAGTGTGACCTCTTCTAATATAGGGGCCTGAATAATTGTCTATACTATTTTGGGGGTTCCGTGTCATAAACATAGTATAATGGACCGCAAAACCCTATTCTAACTATTAAGGCCCCTATATTACGTAGGAAGGCGCATCAGACGTGAGACACTTGGACACTCGCCTGGCGTGGCTTCAACGCAGCCTTGTTCGGAGCCAGATACCAGCACTTCCAATAGAGCCGAAGTGCCCCCAGGTCTGATGCTATAGGGGCCTTTATCATCAGAACAGGGTTTTGGGGTATCTTGTACTATAACTATACTAAGGAACCNNCCCCCCGCCCCCCCCCCCCCCCAAAAAAAAAAAAAGATAAATAGTACAGATAATTGTAAAGGCCCCTATTGTTGACTTCGGGGTCTCCGTGATTTTTGAAAAGCATCTTAGGGTTTTGGGTTTGGGGGTTTTGGGGTTTTGGGGTTTAGGGTTTAGGGTTTTGGGGTTTAGGGGTTTAAAAAGTTTAGGGTTTAGGGTTTTGGGGTTTAGGGTTTAGGGGTTTAGGGTTTAGCGTGTAGGGAGCAGTTCTCGAACTGCGTGGTTCGCAATCCAGCGAGGACAGGATTGAGATATTTTCGCATCGCTCCCACATGGCAGCACGCTACCAGCACGGAGGAGTCAGTATTGCCACTTCCAACTACATCTGTCCAGCTGGTGCTAGGAGGTTGCAAAAGGCGCCTTATTGAGAGGGTCTATAACCCTAAACCCTAAACCCTAATATCCCCAAGCATCCCGCCTAAATCCTAACTCCTCTGACATCACCAACCCCCGAAGACCCAAGTCCCGGTGAGAGTCAGGGAGGGTCTAGCATGGAGACCAAAAAAGCAGGGGTCCGAAGAAGTCAGAATCAGACCCCACACCAGGAATGTAACTCTTCTACAGCAAACCCTAAGCCCTAAACCTCTGAGAGGGCCCTTAAAGACTAAACCCTAAGCATTCAAAAGAGCGCTTACAGGAAAAAACAGACCTTTAATGGCGCCCTTAAAGACTTAACGACCGCGTGTTCTAATTTGTTAAGGCCCCTTTTGGGGGCGAGACAGGCTTTCCAGTGGCCGGCCCAGCGACGTGTGAGCCAAGAGGCCGGGCCTAGCAGGGGGATCGGAATAGGGTTTAGGGTTTAGGGTTGAGCGTCGTATAGGGATCGGAATACTTAGAAAGGGACCCCATTTCTAGTCCACATATGGATAGTACTTTAAATTAGGGTCCCTTTTGAGGTCCGCAATATAGTACCGAAAAGGGACCCTAATCTAGAGAACTACCCACATAACGATAGGGGTATAGAGGGCTTATGGGGCGCCATAGGGTCGGGAACAGTAGCCCAGAACACCCGTTTGTAGCGCACAGGTATACTAGATAATAACCCAAACCCGGTTCTAATTAGTAGGGCGCTTCTTTCATGCTGTGTTACTTTGGCTTAAGTAACGAATCAAGGCATGAAGGCATTTGCTAACAAGTTACTTAGTTAGCAGTAGTGATAACAGTCATCGCTGGAGCTCATACATTAGAATGTGTGTATAGGACGCGCGCGACTGCACTCTGTGAAAATAATTGCGTATAATGATGTTAATCACTGAATGCTGTTCTTAAGGTCGGTGCATACACCCAACTCCAAGCCCATGCTAGGCCCCGGGCCGGGCCTGGTTTGGGCTGCAAGCCATCCTCACCCCCTCCCCACTAGCCCAACATAGATCACAAGCCGACCCCCCGAGGCAACATCCTCCCCACGACACAACATGTGCTTCAAAAGGCAGAGCAAAAGCAACCAAGGCAACCATAAAACATCAGCAGGTCAAGTGGAAGCCACCGAGATCACCGTTGCCTTTGCAGAAGGGCGCGGCACAGACTCTATCCAGGGCCAGGGCTTGGAAGCTCTGTACAATCTCTGGAGGTTTGCCGACGCCGGACATTGCGTTGTTCCTTGGGGCCCCAGGCTCTCAGCTCCCTGGGCCCAGACCGACGGCGCGGCGACCTTCACCTTCGAGGAGTTTCAAGATCTGTGCTCAGTGCATGACAGTCGCCACATGCAAGCAGGAGGTGTATGGCGTCTGGATTTATGTGTCCTAGGTGTTAGATTTGGGTTTAGAGCTTCCTAGATCTTAAAATCCAAACCCTCAGAGTTCAAAAACCTGATTTGCAAAATGGGAGGCCGCAAATCCCGAACCCTCACGGAGCCCCTCTCTACTAGAGAACCCCCTCTTAGAGCCCTTACGCGCAGGGCAACGACAAGCCTCAACTCCCAGTCACCCTCGGCCCTGGTCGGAAGCAGCTCTTGACGTCTTCTGGGTAATTATCGGGGCCGTGATAAGTACTATGTTGGGGGTCCAGAATAGGGTTTCTTTAGAGGGTTACTATAAGGGTTATTATGAGGGTTCTATACGGGTTTAGTACAGGGAGGGACCTTAATAATTAGATTAGAGTAGGGTTTTGGGGGGTCCTTATTATAACTATAGTATAATCTACCCCCAAAACCCTATTCTAGTTATTAGGCCCCCTACGTTATTCCAAGTCATGTTCAGATTTTTTGCTTCTGGTTCAAATCCAACGATTTGGTCAGAATAGTGCTATCGTGTGTAGAAGGGGCGTGTAGATTTCAGTGTTAGGGATACTTAAGACGGGATACACGGCTTGTGTAGGGCGGTATAACGGCTGTTTATACTGCTTGGGTAGGGTTTGGGATCTGTTGGTAGGGTAGATTACCACTATCAGACAGCCGATGCCTCTCGCGCCAAAGGCCCACTCACACAGAGATTGTATACGGTTTCAGAATATACTGTCTACAGTTGCCATGACTCTCCAGCGAGAGTCTGCGTAGTTTGTGCGCTTCTGTCGTTGACTGCCGGAAGAAATTGAACAACTGGGTTTGCTGCAAGCCTTTGACAAGAAAAGGCACGACGGCGTAAGGCTTCTATGTAATCGCTATTTTTCCCGAAACCCTGATTCCGAAACCTAAATCCAATATTCCTTGCTCAGTGCCCCGAACCATAGTTCCCCAGGCTCCAGTGAACAATCTGTGAATCAGAACCGTAGTTCCAACAGTTCTTTTTCCGTTCGAAAAAACCCATCCGAAATACCCCAAAGGCTGATATACACTGAGGCCGATGCCCTAAACTCTTATAGCGGCTTACCATAGTTGCGCTTCTTGCAAATTGCTTGCACGTCGCTATGTATGTATATGCAAGAGCAAATGTTGCTGTTTGCTACGGGGAGGCGACATGTGTTGCTTTGCTACGGCAGTCTTTTTCGCGATCTGCTTGTGAACCTTCTCTGCGACTACCATTCGCGAGTTGTTGCATAGGATTCCCTTTGTGCATTTCAGTAGGGGTGTGGCAGGTGGTTGCCATGACGTTGCGACTGATTTTTCACTGCACCTGCTCCCTTAAATTCTTATAGATCCCGAAAGGTGGATCCCCTAAGGATCCTTCAAAGCAATCCTAAGACCCTAAGCCCTAAACCCCAAGCCCTATCCTTCAACGCAATCCTAAACCATAAACCCTAAACCCTTAAACGCAATCCTAAACCCTAAACCCTAAAAGGAGCCCTAACCCCTAAGCCCAGTTACCGCACCCTCAGAGGCAGCCTGGCAGCCCTCGGGTGTAGCTGGGGCGACCGGAACCTCGGTTGAAACCCGGGGGGCTTCTTAGCAGGGTTTCTAACATAGGGGCCTAAATAGTTAGATATAAACTATTTTTTTTTGGGGGGGGGGGGNNNTAACAAAATGCCCCAAAGCCCTAGTGTAATTATTAAGGCCCCTAATCGTTTAGGGTTTGGGATTTAGGACTTGGCGTTTCGGGTTGATCGTTTAGCTTTTTTCATATGTTTGGAGTTAGGGTTTAGGTCTTACGGTCTCGGGCTTAGGGGCCTTTTTTGGCGGCTTTTGTTCAAGAGGTGGCTCTATGTCCCGTATAAGCCTTGTGTCAACCATAGCGTTCCTTCTCTCAGTTTGGGGTTTAGGTGGTTTTGAGGTTTAAGAACTATGAAATCTAACTCGAGTCTATTTCTGCTTCCTCGGAGGGTAGGAGGAAGCAAGATACCGACCTCATGATCTAATGTAGAAGCCTTAATAATTAGAATAGGGTTTTGGGGGTTACTTATTATGATTGTACGATAATCGACCCAAAAACCCGATTCTGATTGTTGAGGTTCCTACAGTGGGGTCCCAAGCCCTGAACCCCTAAACAAGCAAAGCTCTACCCCCACAAAACCCCTACAGACCATAAACACCCTAAATCCTACATGCCCCCAAAGCTGCACCCTGAAGGTCCTGCAACCCCTATACCCTACACCCTAGAAGCCCCCCAAGCCTCTAAGCCCTAAACTTCCTAAGGGTTTAGGGTTTAGGGTTTTAGGGTTCGGGGTTCAGGGTTAGGGTTTCAGGGTTTTGTTGTTTAGGATGAAACTTCATCCTCCGGGGCCCCCCGCGATTTACCTCCGACCGCTAGCTGCGTGACCATGCGATCGGTCGCAAGGAACTCAGGCTCAGGGTTTGAAGGAGGGTTTGTTACAAGAGTTCTTTTGGGGTTCTAGACGGGCTCTTTCAGGGTCTGCGCAAGGCTTCTGCTTCCGGGCCCGCTGTCTTCAAGCAGAGTGTGTGAAACAATTCCTACAGCACTAAAGCAGTGGTTCTAGAGTTTCAAGCTTTCTCCTTACCGATAGCCTCCAAACCGCCTGTGGATCGCAGACAGAAGGCCCTTGTCTGACTGATAATCTCGAAATCAGGGTTTAGCTAAACCCAAACCCCAAACCCTAAACCCCAAGCCCTAGGCCCTAGACCCTAAAGCTGGGAAGCCTGAGCGACTGCGTTTGGGTTGATCTGGAAAGCGGTCTGCCCAGCTGGCTGAAGCCAAGTAGCAGGAGACTATAACGGTTTAGGGTTTAGGGTTTTGCAGCTTCTTCCTCCTCACACGCATGGCAGGTACGTTGAAGCGTTTGTTTTTCAAGTATAACCATGAATGGCGGTGCAGACCCAGATGAGTCGCAGCATGATCTTTGCTGTGAAGACTGCTGAGTCCAACTTCCGGCAGTGCCTCGCAACTGGCAAGAGCAGCACTTGGCTGCCAGCTCTGCCTGGCGCAGGAAGTGGAACGAGAGCCTTACTTACACAGGACGTCTTTGGCCAGGGAATCCGCTGCAACGAGCGGCGCAAGACGCCTGATCTGCATCTCTTTCTTCTGCACGGCGCAGGTGGGGCACGCTCCCCAGGCCCGAGTGAGCCCCATCGTCATCATCCGCTTTGGTCCTTGTCCCGTCTTTGCCTGAGCAATGCTTGCTAGTATGATAACACGAGCATGCACCGGCAACAAATCCGCAACCCTAAACCTCGCCCCGCCCTAAACCCTAATGCCCAAACCGCAAGCCTTAAACCGTTCTCTACTAGAAGCTTGCTGCTGTGTAAGATTGTTGGGAGCCGGCGGTGGCAGACGAAAAGGCCTCTACTCGACAAAACGACGAACTCAAAAAACATACCAGCGCTCTACCCGACACTGTCAACCCTAAGCCCTAAACCGACTGTCGTATCTTCAAGCCTGTACAAGGTCCCTTCGCAGAACTGCTGCTGGCAGACGAGGTGACTTCGGGCTAGCGCTTTTGGGCTAAGGTTTCGAGAACTCTGAAACATGTATAGAAAAGCATACATACATATATATATATATGCACATACGTATACCTTATATATATATATATACAGAAAGCGTCGCACTACAGGCCCG